AACCAAATCTGGGACTGGTTCCCGCCCAAATCTATACTCACCGTGCCCATGGGTGTGCCCCATTTCTGGTGTACAACAAGGCGACATATATCTCCTTCTCTCAGCAACTTTATATGGTGAGATTTTGACACTGAGCCCTGATAGTCATCGACACAGTGTGGAAGGGTAGTTCTTGCGCTCAAGCAATCGGGCGTTTAGATGTCCACATACCATATCCGGGTTCGGCTATCCTCGGCAACAGCAATTTCGTTCCATACGAGGGAATTAAGCGCTGTCCCGAGGACCGAGGGACGTGCGATAAGAGAAATTTGGGACGATTGTCCCCGATCCCTCTCACACATAGTTGGATTACCATGAAACTTAGGCGTGCAATGCCTTGTTGTGTACCATACATAATGGCATTGTCCGATATGGGCTGCACAGGTAGGGGATGGTTTGGGATGAGCGACAACACTTGACTGTCCCGAGGACCCGTGTATGACTGTATTCTTGCCATGTTTGACAAATATTGCTCAAGCACTCAGACACGTATGCATCACGACAGCTTCGTCCACGGGAATAGGCTAAGTGGTATCAACGGGACGACAACAGCGAAGACGCATGAGACCCATCACACCTATACCTTTGCTAGTCGCGAAACCTAGCTCAAGCCAACCTTCATATCGTCTACCCTTCTTCCCAGCCCGTCGATCCTATCCTCGAGCTCCCTTACATTTCCCTTCACAAGCTTCTCATTCTCCGCTAAACTCTTCTCCACACCCTCGACGGCCTTTTGCAGATCTACAAGCGCAGCGCGCGTGCGCCGTTGCTCCTCCTCGAGGCCCTCGAGAGTCTTCTGGAACCCCGCCGCGGAAGTGTGCAGTGTCGAGAGCGTCCGCAGCCGCGTGAGGATGTGCGGAATGTGCGGGAGGAGCGGCGCGAGGCGGGTCAAGATTGGGGCCAGCTGCTCTTGCAGTGCCGTCGATGACGCGGAGGACGCGGGTGCGGGGAGGGCGGTAGATGGCGAGGCGACGGAGGGGGAGGCAGGGTTCGCGGCGGAGTGGTGTACGCCACGGCGTTGCGCGCCGTGGGCTTGGCTGGAGGTCGCATTCGCGCGCTCGAACTCGGCGTTCAAGAGCTTGATTCGTCTTGAAATGGAATCGATGTGGCGGGGTTGGGTGAGGAGGGTAAGTTGGGCGTTCAGACGCGTAAGGAGAGGCAGGAGCGGTGGGGGTAGTGGAGAAAGCTACCAGAGGGTGAGGCAAGAAAGCAGTGCAGGTCATCATCGAACACACCTCGTCCAACGTAGCATTCGATGACCCCACAAGCTTCTCCAGCTCGCCGACGCGCCTATCCATCTCAGCGACATCCCTGGCCTGCGGCTCCTTCAGCTTCGGGGGAGCGGCTTCGGTCTTTCTCTCCGCCTCTGCCTTTGTCCCCTCTTCCTTATCCTCCGCTGTCACCTTGACAACATCGTCGTCCTCCGCGTCCGTCGTCTCGCCGAGTACGACGCTCACGAGCTTTCCCCGACCTTCGCGTGCCTTGCTGATCTTGTCTATCCGCCGCTTCACATCCACCATCCCGCGGATGAGCTCACCGGGATCTGCATTGCCGCTCTCTTTCTCCTTGCGCAGCAGAGGATTCGTAGGGTCTGATAGCTCGACCTCGAGTGCTGCGACTTCCGCCTGGAGGAGACGAAGGCGCTGAGATAGTGGGAGGGGACCTTGTGTTGGGGAAGGAGGTCCTGACTGTTCTTCCCCGGTGGGCGAGGGCGGGTAGACATATTGTATCTTCGGACGGCGATGTTCTACAACACGTCAAAGGTCATATCATGTTGAAGCACGGAATGGAGACGTACTCTTCTCAGCTTTCCTGAACTTCCTCGATGCATCGTCCGGGTCTACGCTGCTAGAGTCCAATTCCTCTCGCCCTGTCCCAGTTTCGGACTTCCCCCGCCCATGCCCTCTCGTAGGTGCACCGGATTCATCATCACTCGAGTCGCCTTTCTACCGAGACGCGTCAATCGGATGATCTAAGGCTAGTATGATCTGAACTGACGCTGTCCTGAGCACTTGGAAAGACGTCCTCAGTTTCATAGACGTCAGGCGCTGTATCCTGATCAGCGTATCAGTATCGGCGGTCTTGAACATACTCAAGATACTGACAATATCCGGGAGATTAGCGTACTTGGCACTCATAACGGTGGTAAGGGGACGGAGTAGGTGGGGGTGGGGCACTCGGTCAAGACGCGACACGCGCGCCAGAAAGCCTTGACGGGCAGCCTTAATGCCAAATGGCTCAGGGCCAAAAAAGCGTCACCTGAGCGATTCGAACACTCGCGGGCAAAGCCCAACCGCTAGCAGCCATGAATAGCAGGCGATCCCGTTAACCACTCCGGCAAAGTGACCTCCATTTTATGGCTGCAGACGCATTGGTGAAGGGTTCATTATTCCGATATCTACTCACAAGTCTACACGTTCCACAATTCGTGACCTCCGCAGGAGCCATGTCCGCGCAGAAGTACATGCTGGATACTATCTTGCAAAGCAATCTGTCTCTTGTTAAGCTCGCTGTATTCATCTACCATACAACTCCCCTCGTATCAGATGACTACGATTTTCCCTTCGCGTCATGAAAACAGCGACACTAGCGGTCTCTGTCCAATGGCAGCTAGCGAAGAACAAACCCGATTGCTGCAGAGTATCTCAATGGCTGACTCTAAGCATCAGCGATTGCAGGTACATACTACCCGAAGTGTCATACTAAGTGGCATGTCCGTCAGGTCAGCCGCCTTCGTGGAGAGGGTGAGGTTCTCGGGTATGGCGCCTCGGTGGCCTGTGCGACGTGCGTAGGGATGTAACAGAAGACGATCGGCCTTCATTCGGCGACAAGAAGTGCGAAGAGAGCATGCACGGCGCTGTTCTCAAAGGACTTCAGAGTGTCCTTGAACATAACCTTCTAAGAAATGTTGATCCCCGGATACCACATAACGCATGAGGACTACGGCGTACGTGGTGACAGGAATGGCCAAGGTGAGTGGTCGGCCGAGTTTACTCACCTCGAGACGCGGGGTGACTTACTACACGATCGTCGCGCAAGATCGGGCGCAGGATCCTGATATAGTCGCCAGATCATTCGAAGCAGACTCGGAGAATACAGACGTCTACCTGTCGGTTCAGTCCTGCATGATGAAGCGGAAACAAAAGACGGTGTTGGGCTCAATCCTTGTGTGGTTCTGGTAAAAGTCGTGAGGCTGAAACTCGACTTCTTGCCCTTAGAAGGTGCTGCGCCTAGCACTTCTTGCCCTCCTGCAGGTGCTAAGGACGCTTCTAGAAGGGCGTATCTTCGGCAACTCACCGGACGAGAGTTATGGTGATTGGAGGACGAGCGTTGACATCCTGTTACTAAACTAGAGTCGGTCTCAGCGACTGAGGGTCTCAGCGAAAAGATAGGTTTCATTCAACAGCTATACCCAATCGGAATGGCATCAACGATGAGAAACAGGTGCATATGCTATCAATGCATCTGAAGGGAGAATATCAGTGGCAAAAACTCTATAGCGCCAATAGACGTCCAATGCTACTTCCTCATTTCTCGTTCAATCGCCCACCTGACTGCTTCCTCAACATCCTCCGCGATGTATGAAGGCGTATGTGTGGGAGGGCCACGTGAAGGGTCATACACGCCGGTCTTCACAAGTACCGAAGGCCAGCCTGCTGCATTTGCGCCGGCAATGTCTACGTGCATATTAGCCTGCGCACACCATGGGCCGCTTCAGTTGGCCTGTTAAGAACATACCTGACTCCGGATTGTCTGCAATCATGGGCATTAGCACGGTGCACAGCATAAACTACATTCTCGATACGTACCTCCTACCATGTAGCTAGGAGCGAATTTTCGGTCAGCCCGCTTGCAAAAGCGGTATAAAGGCCGGGGCTTACACGCGAGGCATTGCGTCCACTCTATCGCCGCTGAACTCCTCAAGTCGGTCTCTGAGAACACTCTCTGCGAACTCGTACGTCGCCTTCGTCGGCTTGCCGTACTGTACGCATGGGTACCGAGCCCCGACGACAGCCTATCTCAAAGTTCACACTGACTCTTTTCCCCGAAGATAGGACCACGCACCTGATAGACGGCCTGGAAAGCTTCGCGGAACGCTCCTTGTCCAAGCCGTGGCTGTGGAAAGTCCGACTTCCACAACAGATCGGGATTACAAAGCACCAGTTCGACCGGCGGTAGCGACTGCTGGTTGGAAGTGGGTGACGGGTCGAGGTATGGACCGCCGACAATTCCGCGGGAACGGATGACGTCAAGGATCACTTGGATGTCGAGCGACCAGTTACGTGGGTCGTGGAAGACGAAGATCGCCGATATTGGGATGCCAGAGAAGTCTGCCGGCTGTAGAGAGTGACATAGGGATGGGAGATGTCCGTTGACCTGGGAATGATGCAGACGTTCTTACCTTCACGGAAGCGCGTTCTTCGGGTGTCAGGTTATGGAACGGCCAGACTCTGAATTAAAGTACGTGAGTACATTCGAGCGGGGGGCCGACGGGGGCTGTCCTACTCGGGTTTCCAAGCGAGGACATCGAGTGTGGTGTAGGCATGCTTGAACCCATAGCTGTTCGGACGTCAGATTGATGGACACATAACAACCCTCCACTGGCATACTCTTCAGCGACCTTGCGAATTTCATCATTACGACCACCAAGGACTAGAACGGGTTTGTCGGCATACTTATGCACGACTGATTTGAGGATGGTGTGAGCCTGCACAATCTGATTGCTATGGATCTGTCGGACTATGCGATCAGAGGGTCTCCAAGTAATCACAATTGCGCGTGCGTACCTCTACCCCGAGCTGAGAGCTGAGCTTGTGTCGTCGGGCCTCCTCCCCTAGTCCACCTCCATTGGTCAACTGTCAAGGACCTTGTGAACGTGAGATGACACAGGAGGACCCTGAGACTCACCAATATGAAAGGTATCGTCCTTGTGCCATCGTGAGCAACATGAGTAAGATATATCGCTAGAACTGTAGATACTTACACTCCCATTGGATTGACACCGTTGAGCATATCGAGAGCCCGTCGTGCGGCGGGGATGGTGTGAGGTCCCCGGAGTAGAACGCCATCCTACACATGTCATTATGAGTGCGGTGAACTGGAACACACTCTCGACTGTCCCTACTATGTCAAAGGCGAACGCGAGTGGGGGCAGCCTCGGACGTGACGACGCTTGGCATGATTTCGAGCTGTCAATAAAGTACTCGCTGGCGAGTCGGGGTGCAACTTACATTGGATGTACCGGACTGGGGATGTGTGAGTCCGCAGGCTCCTACATCGTGCGGAAGGACTCGATAAAGCATGCCTAACCACAAACATCGACGGTGCTCGCTTGATCATGAGGCCTGAGGGTCTGCGGGTCTGCAAAACGACTCTAGTCTTGACGGTACTAGGACCTCGGGCCGACGCTGAGCGCTGAAGGTTTCTCGGCGCTTCTCGGCGCTCCCGGCTGCCGCGCCACCGCATGGATTCCGTTTTCGCAAACCTCATTAAAGTCTCTACTTTCCAGGACTGCAGCCCGGACTCATTGGGCCGCTGGCCACTCACACCTCTGTGAGGAGAAGATCGGTACGTATAATATGGATAGCTGAATGATACAAGCATTCACGCAGTCTCACAGGACGTGATGGCCTTGGTGGCCCTTGCCAGCCGGCACACTTCGCGGCTGGGATCCAAGCTCTGCATGGCAGTCCTCGATCGGCGTAGCTTTGTTATCTCCGAGCGAACGCTGGTCCCGGGTCACTTCAATGCACTTCTGGCATCACCAACCAAGATAGACAAGGCTTGGGACCACACAGCTGCAGTATCGCAGACATTGCGGGAACATTCCACTCCAGCGTCCCATCTGACGGGAATCATAACAAGAGATCCTAACAAAGACTTGGACAACAACGTCGCTCATTCAGGACGTAAGCGCACGCTTCGCAGCATCAGGACCCTCGATCCTTCCAAGCTCAGTCGTCACGACTATCTCGACTTCTCTGGCATCGGCCCCAGCTGCGCGTATGTCGCGGTGCCGCCGGGTGCTCGCATTCCGGACGCAGCCGTCAAGACATCTCCCTTCACCTACATCCGCCTCTTCCCTCGTGGATGGCGTAGTCATACTTTCCCAACGAATGCCAAAGGGTTCCTATACTACTACAAGCCTCCACACTCTCCCCCCATGGCAGGGCAGATACGGTTCCGCTGCATGCAGTCCGATAGCCCGCAAGACTTCGCCTCAGGGTACGATCTCTGTGGGGATAACGGTCTTCCATGGAGCGTTCCGCTTGTCTTATGCGGACACACCGCCTGCTATGCACCCATTTTGGATGTCGCCCTCCGCGATGGCTTGATATCTCACAAGCTTGTGGACCTCATGCAGAAGACCCCGACCCCGCGCAAGTTGCCGGTGGCTGATCGATTGGTATATACTTTGGGTCAGCCGTTCGCTCTACGGATGGGAGCGGCGGTTGGGCCGACGATTTCGTTTCTGGGAAAAGACCGCTTTATTGCGGATGTCTTGACAACAATCTCCGGGTCGCCGTCGAAGAGAAAGCCCCTATACCAAGGTGCGTACTAGCCCTACTACATAGTGTTGGTGTCTCACTCACGCAAACGTTTGGGCACACTGTAGGTACAGTCATAAGCTGCTTTGAGCTGTCCAAGCTTCTGGAGCATGTAGGACGACGTGTAGTGGTGATCCGCATCATCCATTTGGTTGATTCGGATCCCATCCGCCCGAATCTGAAGACGCGGCTACATGAGCGTCCTGAGTCAGACAAACTGACACCACGAGTGGGAGGGTTACTGATGGGATTACGACACTCAAAAGTGAAACCTATCGCCTTTGATTGGACTCCGTCACCAAGTGGGGAGTCCAACCCATCTCTCAAGGATGTTTTGGACAATGATTATTGTCCAGGGTCTATGACAGCGTAACTCGTGCCACCCCCTCGCCGCTTTACATCTGCTTTGTCTCTAGTAGTATATAGGTTAAGGGCTCGCAGCCCAGGATCCTCGTCCCCTCGCCCTTCGGGAGCTCGCGCTCCTCGAGCTTTCATTTTTTGCCCGCTGGTTGGTGCACACCACGTCGTTCACGGTGTTGCCCAATGGGGACCACCAGCTCCTTTCTTCGGCGATCCGCTCGCCACCCCTCCGGGCATCCGTGCCCTCGCCACTCGCCACTCCTCCGGGCAGCTCGCTGCGCCCTCTCGTCGTTCCGCCTGCCCTCCGGGGCCTCTTACGCGGTGATCCGCTCACTGCTTCCTCCCCAACCCGGCCCCCCGCCCGGCCGCATCATACTCCATCCCTTCTCCTCGGGCCGGCCCGCCCTCCCTCGATGAATCCGCTCGCCATCACTCCTCCTTGGGCCCGGGCCCCGGTGCCGGCCCCCGTTTGGGTGCAATCACTTCCCTTTGGGCCGATCCTCACGCTCAGCCTCCCGAGCCTCCGGCTCTCCGCTTCACTCTCCTTCCTGGCTTGAGCTCGGCCCACCGGTCGCGCGAGAGAGCGGTGGCGACACGGACTCGGTGGTCCCGCGCAGCTTCCGTAGCGCGCGCCCAATACCATCGTTTTCCGTCCTGCCCGAGTATAGCGTGCATAGACTGGAGCTTTTGCTGGAGAACGAGAAGTTGTACGGATCTGAAGGGGGATCGAGCGAGTCGCGTACTTAGATATTTGATCATTTCGCAAATTGTATGCTCACGCGATGTCAATAAGTTCCTCTATGTAAAGAAAGAGGCGCGGCCGTGTGGAGTGGGCAGTGAACATTACTACACCTGTTCTTGGCAGTCACTGCAGGCCCTCGAAAGACCCAAACCCATGTTACTTAGCCTGGAAAGGAAGTGTAGGCGCGCGCAGGGCAGACGTCACGAGTGCGGGGAAGCTCGTGATTTCAACCGCTAACGCATGAGCATCAGCTCGACTGCCCTCCCTGCTGCTTCCGACTTGTGTGCTTCACCCCTACGCCCATGAGTTGGCCAACGTAAATACCCCGACTTCCTTCTCATCTTGTCGTCCTCCATCATGTCTAGGACCGCCGACGAGACCACACACGCTCAGTCCACTCCTCTTGTCGAGTTTCTCAACACCCTGCCATCGCCTGTCACCACTGCTCTGGTCGGGCTTGCCCCGGTCATCTCGAGATCTCGCTATCTTGCGCAGCTACTGGTATGGAAGGCTGCGTGGGAGGACTGTTGGCTGTTTCTCGCTTCGTGGTGGGCTATATGCTTGGTACCTGAGCTGGGCCTTAGGTGAGTCGCATGATCGCGGAAGTGGGCTGTCATCCGTCGAGCACATCACCGAGAAAGAGCAAGAATCCTACATGTCGCTATAGTGATACTACGTGCCACTAGACCTACCCTATGCAATGCCTAGTCCTCGCGAGGCACATGCATATACTCCCCTAACATCGAACTTGCGTCTCGGCTTTTCCTGCGTGACAGCTGCCTCAAGCTGATCCTTTGCCACGTACAGGTATCTACTGCCTCTCGCTGTACTCTTGGTATATTTCCGCCCGCGCGGAGATCCCAATATCCAACGAAGCCCTCCAACCATCACTGAGGACACCCTCCAGCGTGCAATCACCGATCTCACCACCATCCACGCTCTCCTTCCATCTTTACCTCTGCCCGTACCCTCAAAACCACTGACGGTACCTAAGCCCCTCGTCTTACTCCGCTCAATCGCTGTATTGTACATACCGTACTTCGCGCTCACGTATGTTGTCCGCATCCGCATCCTCCTCGCCCTCTTCGGCACCCTCTTTTTAACTTGGCGGGCCCGTTGGGCTGTGGTCCTCCGTGGCGCTCTCTGGCGCAGCGCACATATCCGCTGGGCTGTCTACCGCTTGTGGTCATTCCTGTCTGGGCAGTCCCTCCCCCCTCTCACGCGCTCCCCCCAAGCGCAGTCCGAAGCACGCCTCGCATCCGTCTCCTCTCCCTCATCGCTTCAGGCGCAAAAGAAACCTCTCCCAGACACAAACGTCCGGTTCCTTTTCACAATCTACGAGAACCAGCGGTGGTGGATGGGCTTGGACTGGACGGCCGCGCTCCTCCCTGGGGAACGACCTTCGTGGTGCTCGGCGTCGCAACAACCCGCGGCGCCACCGAGCGCGTTCACCCTCCCAGCGCCGACGACGGCGTATACCCCCACAGCTGACGGGAAGGGCCGCGTGAAGCGCGTCGCCCGGTGGCGGTGGGAAGAGGACGAGTGGCGTGTCGTTGTAAGGCGGGAGGGCTCGGGAACGAGTCGGGTTGAGAGGCCGGTTCCGTCGGCGAAGGAGGAGAGCGCGGCTGCCGCGAGCGCGAACAGGATTTTGAAGGCTGCGGGAAAGATGCGCTCGGGAAGCCTGGACTTGATGGAAAAAGGGACGGAGAAGGAGAGAGATGCTCAGGCAAATTCTGGAGAGGGGCATGGGTATAGTGGGGAACATGGCACGAGTCCAAACGACAGTGCGCACGATGCCAAGGATGAAGTCGAGGTCGAAGAGCCTTTCACGGACGCGGATGGGTGGGTATATGCGGACAATAAATGGGAGGGTGCGAGCAGTAAGGGTGGGATGGGCAAGGTGCGTTTGCATCGATTTTGCACAAGACAAAGGTGGGAGGGCTGACTGAGTCTCCGTTCAGTATACGCGTTATCGGCGATGGACACGCATAGCAGTCCTCACGGAGACCGTTGAGATTGTTGGACCAGGGGAGCTCGGAATTCGACGGGACGAGTTACCGGCCCCAGCGCTGGAAGCATCCGCCCCATCCTTGGTCATTCCGTCTTTGTCCCAAACAGTCGCAGCAGGCCCTCGGACTCCGCTCAAAGAACCAGCGGATAACTCGAATAACACTGCAAGCCGTCCCGGGCATTCTCGCTCGTCGTCTTCAACAGCGAGCTGGCCCCCTGCGGAGGCGATCAGCAGGGAGACAGTGACTGTCACACCAGCGAGCTCTCCTGCGGTGGACGACTCAGCGTCACGGCTAAGACAGCGGTTGAAGGCGGCTGTTCTCGGGACCGGGGACCATTCGTAAGGAAGGGATTGTGTCTTAGCGAGACGATCTATCACCTATTATATGTTGTCTGTTGTAATGCCATTGTCTCCACCGCTCAGTATCATTCACGTGAGTTGTGATGCACAATTCTCGACAACCGCTGATCAGTCGTGATTACTAGCAGGGTGCAGTGACTTCGTGGGCATAAGTGTACTTGGCAAACCATATGCTACCACCGCAGGATGTATCTCCGCACATAGCGCCTAAGAGTCACCGCTACCATTCACTCGCCAACATCTCCACGCCAATCCCATACTCGCGAAATGCTATCACGAGCCCTGTCTACCATCCGATAGAGCCATGAAATGTACTCGGTATTTGTGGTCTGGGAAGAATAATCCAAAACGACATCCCTGCGAACAGATTCCGAGAAAGGTGGGGCGTGTTTGCTCGAGGCCAAAATAGCGCTGCTCAGATGTGAACACTATCGAACTTTATCTCCGAGTTACAACGAACCTTTCCGGGGGGCTGCAACCACTGTTACGTATCACAATCCTAGCATGTCTATCTCGCGGCGCATCTCTCAAGCTGTGCATGAACGAAGATGCATTTGCTTATCTCCTGACCTTCCCCGTCATGCTTGACCAGCACCGGGGGGTCATGGGATATCCGCAGTCATGACGTTTCTCACCCGGTAGGATTGAGTTCACTCACAGCACCAAAGTTCCCAGCTGGGAATCCGGCGCAATCGTGCCTCGAGGGCAAAGCCTCGCCATGTCGTATGTATATGCCACGGTCGATCCTTGATGTGTACCGCTCTGCTGAAGGCCATCAGCACCGCGCCGTCTCCCTTTCCAGCCCAAGTCCTCTCCTGACTAGATCCTTATACAACTCTTGGCGGTATACCGAACGAAAGACGCTCCGAGATGGCCAACGTTACTAGCTCGGAGATGCAACAATTGTTCAATGTGGCGGCATACGGACTTGTATCCGGGAATCAGGCCCTTGGTGCATTGCCTAGCACCCTACTCAACACCGGCTTGTATGGTGAGCACAGCGTCTCCCGTCATACGTCTGTCGGCCGCTGAAGACGGGCTCCAGGTGTCTTGACTTTGACCACCTGTGTGGCCGGGATACTGCTTCTGTCCGTTCATCGATCAAGGACATCTCGCTCCTGCCCTACTGACACTGACCCACTCATCCCCGCAGCCCGCGCGCATGGCGGGATCTCCGGAACACCGCGCTCCTGCTCGCCACGGCCGCGATGTACGCCGGGACGACGGTCTACTTCGCGCTCAGGATCCGGCACCTCGTGACGGACGCGACGGCGGTGTACAGCAACGTCCTGCTGCTCTACTCGGACCTGCGGGCGTGCTCGAGCGGCGCGGTCGCCCCGGGCGCCGACACGCCGGCGTGCGACGCCATGGCGGACTTTGGGCTGTTCGCGGCGCCGAGCCGCATCGACTCGCAGTTCTGTGCGGGGACGGCCGCGCTCACGGTCAACGTACGTCCGTCCCTGCGTCTTGCTTGCCGCGCTCGATGCCTCAACCTTAGCTTGGACCTTGGGGCTCTGCGTGCTAGGCCGTGCTCGGGAACGCCATCCTCTCCTGGCGCGCGTGCGTGGCATGGCCGAGGAGGCGGCTGGTCCCGCTCGTCCTCACATCGCTCGTGCTCGCGACCTGTGGTGCGTCCAGAGCATGCCCGTTCAGCCGCGAGACGAGTCGCTGACCGGAGGAAGCCCTCGGCATCGCCGACACCGCGACGGCGTGCCGCGGGGCGGCGCAGGAGGACCCGCTCGAGCTGGACGGGCCGAGCGTCGGGACGCTGTTCATGGGCAAGAGCTTCGGGCTCGCGGCGTCCGCGCTGGCGCTGGCGACGAACGTCATCACGACCTCGCTCGTTGGGTTCCGGATCTGGTCAGCGCGAGAATCGCGTGTCGTCTCTCTCCGGGAGAGTGGCTGCTCACCGTCCGGGTTGCATGTAGGCAGCGGCGGGCCGCCGTCGCGGGACATATCTCCGCGCTGCAATCGGCTAGGAGCAGGGTCTGGAGCACCCTGGCGCTGGCGGTCGAGCTGGGCATCGTATACTGCGTCGTCTGGGTGAGTGCACGGACGATATAGCCCTCGGGGAGCCGTCTCATCTTGGTCCGCAGGCGGTCATGCTCGCCGCTGCAGCCGGCCTGAAGGGCTCGATCGGGTTCCTCGAAGACTTCGAGACGGGCTACGAGGAGATCGTGTACACGAAGAACCCGTCGGCGTTCGTCGACGGGTTCTGGGTCTTTGACCTGGGGGCTATGACGGCGCTCACGGTAAGCCGCCCGTTCTCATTATTGTAATGCAACGACGGCATATCCGCCACACAGGCGATCTATCCGCTGGCGGTGCTCATCATCCTCGCGCTCGACGCGTCGCACTGCGAGTCCGGGTTCGAGTACACGGAGGCGGACACGACGGGGTTCAAGAACCTCCCGGACGGCTCTGGCGGCGCCGGAAGGGTGTTCTCTCCCACGCAGTGGCGACACAAGTTTCTGCTGAGCCCGGAGCCGGCGAAGCTCGGCGGGGGCCTGCGCGGGTCGAAGGGCAGCGTGGAGGCGTTCGCGCTGCAGCAGCGGCCGCATGCTGCGTGGGAAGGCGTGGAAGGGGAGACAGAGGTGGGGAAGGGGGACGTACTGTAGGCTTCCTAGAGGATTTACCTCTCTTTGGAGTGGAGGGCGGGCTGGAGGTGATGCTGGGCTTGCCGTTGTGAGACGGCAGGTCACTCGGAAGTTGAGTGGTGTATGACTACCTAGTGTATGGCGGGCATGTACGATACGTACGACAGACGGACAACGACCAGATCCCACCTTTGAGCGCCCCAATCTGTCGAAGACATCACGTCGACGCGCGCACCGGGAGTTCGCCTGGGCCAACGACGAATCAGCCCTGCATGAAAGGCCGCCGAGACAAGGGCATCAGCACCCCATCTGCATCAGCTCGCGAACCACTCGTCCTGGAGGAGCGCCTCCGCCGTCGGCCGCTTGCCGGGGTCCATCTCGAAACACCGGGCGAGGAAGGCGCACGTCGCGTCCACGTCGCGGTCGCTCAGCTCGCGCTTGATGAACGGGAAGTTCTGGAGGTGCAGCTTCAGGAAGGGCAGCTCGGGGTCGCTCAGCTCTTCCATGTCGCCTGCGACGAGGAAAAGGGGGGTTCGAGGTTAGCGGCAGGGGCTGGGGCTGGACTGCGGGACACTCACCGTACGATGGGACCTCGGTGAGTGACGCGTTGTTTAGCTGGGGGTACACGAGTGCGCCGGTCAGGGACTGGAAGGTCTGTGGTGGGGCGTGAGTGAGTGGGGAGCACGGGGGCAGATGGACGGCGGGACGCACGAGGTGGCCGACGGCCCAGATGTTGACGGGGGGAGACCAGCGCTCGGGGGAGCCGATGTAGGCTTCTGGGGCGCAGAGGACGGGTAGGGCGTGGTAGTAGTCGAGCAGGTCGAACGCGCCGCCGTCTCTGGTGGCACGCGCCTGGTCGTCTTTGTCGAGCGTGGCTGGGCGAGGGAGGATGGGTGAGTGCGACTAGGAGCGAGGCCGTGGGCGCACTCACAGTGCTCGCAGCGGCCGAGGCGGACGGAGAGGTTGTCGAGGGAGGGGCTGAGACCGAAGGCGGGGAGGGGCTGGGCGGCGTCGATGGCGATGTTTCTCCTCGAGGGCCAGGTGCGCCCCGTCTTGGCTGGTACGTAGATCGAGGGGGGGTTGCGTCGGAGGTGGTCGACGATGCTGGATGTGACGCTCTGGGCGGTGCCTTGGTGGACGACGGTGAGGTTGTGGGAGTTGACGCCTGGAGGGGGGTGAGCACTCGGATGGAGGACGAGGGAGGGAGAGGGCGGCCAGACCTACGTGGGTTCTCCCTGTGGAGTGGATGTACTGGAGGGCGAGGAGGGTGTCCCTGATGATGCGCTTTGTGACGGGGAGGGTGAAGCGGCGGTCGGGCTGGGAGGCTTGGAGGTCGGTGAGGGCGGGGCCGAAGACGTCCTTGACGATGTGGAGGTGGGTGCCAAAGTGGATGGATCGTATTCGGTCGCAGGCTCGGGCGCCGGGGTCGCGGTTGTTCTGGGCTTGGGGGATGCTGTGGATGAAGTTGCGGATGGCTTGGCGGGGGTCATGCTTGCGTTGGAGGCTGAGGGCGGCGGAGAAGTTGTCACCAAAGGTCTCGATGGCGACGAATCTTTTCCGGGAGGAGCTGAGAGAGGGAGTGAGAGGGAGGGATGGGGAGGGGAAGGAGGAGGAGGGGCGTACGCTTTGACGGTGTGCTCTGCGAGCCAGACGATGGAGGTGAGTCTGGCGCGGAGTTTGCGCTCGATGCGGTACTTGTCACCGGCGAGGGTGATGAGTTCGGCAGGCTCGAAGGAGAGGTGGCGTGCTCTGAGGGCGGGAGCGTCTACGTCGGGGCCATTGTAGAGGAAGGCGGAGGGGAGGCGCGTCTTGTCGAGGGAGTGTTTGAAAGACAGGTAGTACCGCCAGTAGATCTTGTCGAGGAATGAGAACAAGCCGGGAGACATGGCGGCCTGCGCGGTCAGCCGTCCGCGTCAGCCGAGAAGGGCTCGCTGGACGGCCGGGTGTGACGCCACGCGATGCGACGCGTTCTGCCAGTCGACTGCTGCTCTCGCCTGCGCCGTCTGTGTTCACCGCCGATGGCCGCTCCCTCAACCCGAGATCGCTCGATCTCCGTCCTCGACGCAGGCTCGATACACAACATCTCTTCCGGCCAGGTCGTCGTCGACCTCCAGACGGCCGTAAAGGAGCTCGTCGAGAATAGCCTCGATGCCGGAGCTACTACCATCGGTATGTCCTCTCCTTCTCCTACCGTATGGCACGCCCCTTACACCCGTTTGAGACGTCCGCTTCAAGGACTACGGCCTCGACTCCTTCGAGGTTGTCGACAACGGGTCCGGCATCCCTCCCCAAGACTACGACTACATCGGTCCGTCCTTCCTTCCATCCTCCCTCTCTCTCTCACTCCAATGCGCGTATCACAGCGCTCAAGCACCACACCTCCAAGCTCGCCTCCTTCACCGACCTCCAGTCCGTGACCACCTTTGGCTTCCGCGGCGAAGCCCTCTCCTCCCTCTGCGCCCTCGCAGATTCCGTCTCCGTCACGACCGCAACCGCCGCCGATGCACCCGTGGCCACCGTCATCGACTTTGAGCGCACAGGCAAGGTGAGCAAGAAGGCCAAGGCCGCGCGTCAGGTACGCACTCCCACTCACGCACTCCGAGCTCGTCCTTCACCTGCCATCATAGAGAGGAACTACGGTCACCGTCTCAGGCCTCTTCAAGCCCCTCCCCGTCCGCCGCAAAGAGCTCGAGCGCAACGCCAAGCGCGAGTACGCCAAGGCCCTCTCCCTCCTCCACGCCTACGCCCTCGTCCCCTGCGCGCACGACAACAAGGGCGTCCGCCTCACCGTCGTCCACCACACTGCCCAGGGGTCCGTCTCCCCTCCGCCTTTCACGTCCGTCAGGAGCTGACCACATGTAGGAAGAAGAGCGTGCAGGTGCGCACGGACGGCACCCCCTCCACCCGCGCCTCCGTCTCCGCCATATGGGGCCCCAAGGCCCTCGAGCACCTCGTCGACCTCGACCTCGCCTTCCCCGTCGAGCCCGAGGCCGCTCTCTTGCGGCGCCTGGGGCCCGCGCAAGACGACGAGTGAGTGGCCCAGGTGTGTGTTGTGTCGTGCGGTCGCTCAGGCCATCGCAGGCGCGCGAACGAGGTCAAGGTCAAGGGCCTCATCTCAAAGTTTGCCGTGGGCTGCGGGCGAAATGGCACAGACCGCCAGTTCTTCTTCGTGAACGGGCGGCCGTGCGCGCCCTCGAAGGTGCGTTTAGTCACTTGGTGGGAGCGCGCGGGCGCTGACGAGAGAACAGGTGCAGAAGGCGTTCAACGAGGTGTACAGGTCGTTCAACGCGACGCAGTCGCCCTTCGTCATCGCGGACTTTATCCTCCCCACCGGTACGTGATACGCCCTCTCCGCGATGGCTGCTAAACCCCCGACAGACTCGTGCGACATCAACGTCAGCCCCGACAAGCGCACCATCCTGCTCCACAGCGAGAACAACCTCGTCCAGGCACTCAAGGTATGCACTCGAGCTCGCGTCGTGTCGTGCGCTCATCGTCGTGTAGGCTGCGCTCGAGGAGACGTACGCGCCCTCGCGATCGACGTTCGACGTCAACCCATCCCAGGCTCCGAGCAAGGCCGTTCCGGTGGCGACGCAGCGCACGCGATCCGCCAAGGAGAAGGATCTGCTGTTCCTGCCCGACGAGGATGACGCGGGGCCGACTCCGAGCAATTCGCAGTCGCAGCCGAGCTCACAGCGGCTGGCCGACGACGACGAGGCGATGCTCGGCGAAGGCGCAGCGGGGGACTCTGCGTTCGGAGAGCCTGCGCTCTTGTTCGAGTCTTCGCAGTCGCAGGCTTCGCGCGCGCCGGCGGATGAAGTCGCAGCCGGCGAAGAGAAGGAGCGAGAGGCGGGTGCGGCGGAGGCGGAGGACGAGGCGCCCCGATCGCCTACCGTCACACAGATCGTTGCCGCGAACGCTCGCTCGCGGGCAGAGGCGGACGAGGATGCACTCATGGAAGACCAGAATCGGTTCTCAGGCGAGGAGGAGCGAGAACGAGAGGATGGGCCGACGACGAGCCAAGTGCCGCTAGCGAGACTGCTCGCGCAGCGGCGAAAGGCAGCAGCGCGCCCAGCCGACGACGACGCAGACGCAGACGAAGGGTCACCCGGTGACGTGGCCATGGACGAAGCGCAAGACAAGCCCGCCGACGAGGGCGAGGACGGGCCGACGAGGAGCCAGGTGCCGCTGGCGCGAATGCTCGCGGAGCGACGACAGACTGCAGCGCGCCCAGCCGATGATGACGAACCGCCGATACCCTCGCTCAGGCCGCCCGTGCGCCCCGTCGCGCGCGCGCCCGAGTCGGTGCGCGCCAAGGCGGGCGGGAGCGGCTCGGCGCGGGGTGGGGGTGGAGGCGAGCAGATGGTCCTGAGCACGGCGGGCGCGTCGTGGGCTTTGCGGAAGAGGACGGACGGGCCGGGAAGCGCGGAGCGGCCGACGAAGAAGAGCAGGGCGGATGTGAGGGAGGGGAAGGAGGCGCAGCAGGGGTTGAGGGTGATGTTGAGCCAGTTTGCGAGGGCGGGGAGTCGCGTGGAGGTCGCTGAGGTGGACGAGAGCGAGGAGATGGAGGTTGACGAGGATGAGGGCCGTGAGGTGCGTGACGAAGACGAGTCGTTCGAAGTCGAGACGCGGGATTCGCCAGACACGGGGTTGAGCCATGGGCCAGTCGACGAGGACGAACGGATGGAGGAAGAAATGCCAGAGGTGATCGACATCACGGTCGAAGACGATGTGGACCTCCCTCCTCGAACAGCCCCGCGAGCAACACGGAGCAACGTAGGCAGCTCTTCCGTCTCTGCCACCAGCGACGAGATCGTTCGCACTGGCGGCCGTGAAACCGTCACGGTATCTTTCGACCTGTCTACCCTCAGAGCGTCTTGGAAGAAGCTGCGTGAACGCCTTGCAGACGCGTTGCGAGAACGGGAGGACCGCGAACGTGAACGCGACGCCAAGACAAAGCTGGACGGCACTGCCGGACTCGCGAATGCGGATGATGAGCAGGCTGTCGAGGCGCTTTCGCGGGTGATCGACAAGCCTGACTTCGCATCGATGGAGGCCGTCGGCCAGTTCAACCTGGGCTTCATTATCGTTCGGAGGCGCAAACAAGGCGGCGAGGGAGATGGCGTGGACGACGTGGAGATGGACGATCTGTTCGTCGTCGACCAGCACGCCGCAGACGAGAAGTACAATTTCGAGACGCTCCAGCAGACGACGAAGATCAAGTCCCAGCAGTTAATCAGGTAACGCGCCATTATCTGTGTCGGTGCGCATCTCAACTCACTCGAATCGGGTTGGACAGTCCCGAAGTGCTGGAGCTCACGGCGGCGGACGAAGTCGTGGCGCTGGAAAACATCGACATTCTCCGCCAAAACGGCTTCGAGCTGGACATCGCTGAGGACCGACCCGCTGGGCAGCGCGTGCTGATGACTGCGCATCCTGTCAGTGGTAGCACCAAGTTCGATGCCAAAGGTACAATTGTCTCTTCATGGCGGGCCCTCACCAACCAGGCTAACGCATGACGGGTTCGCAGACCTCGAAGAGCTCCTGAATTTGATGCAAGACCGCCCGGCAGGACAGATGGTTCGGTGTTCGAAGGCACGCGCCATGTTCGCGATGCGCGCGTGCAGGAAGAGCATCATGATAGGTACCGCGCTGAACAAGCGGCAGATGACGTCGGTGAGTTCATCTGCTCGTTCGCCTCTGACCGACCAGAGCCCTGACATCGATCGATGTTCGTCCCTCTTTCAGGTCGTGCAACATATGGGGACAATGGACCAACCCTGGCATTGCCCTCATGGCAGACCTACCATGCGTCACCTGTCGGATTTGGTGGGCGTCGGATGGGATTTCCGGAAAGGACCTTGGAAGGTCGAATGGGGTGCATTTGGCCGTGTGGCTGCTTCAGCAGCGATATGAGCGTTCTGTGAACCTGGGAGGTGGACGAGGTGTGCTCTGATCTATTCTGTATATACTTCGATTTCTTGGCTTTGATGCGACGATCTCGTCGAGGCATGACATTCCGTTGCATGCAATCGACAACTCAGCGTCCAGCCGCTCTCTGGACGAACATCATAAAAAATGGAATCTCGTGGTCATCCTCGCCTCGTATCTGACATGGTGTACGACTGATATGATCTGGATATCCAAGGCCGCATTGTTGTAAACACTAGCGATGTCCCGTAAGACCCATACGGTACCGAGCGAGATCCACAAGCAGGGACGTATGCTATAGGTACTCTTTCACCTGTTCCTCCAGCCACACCCAGAGTTTCTCTTGCTGCTCGCGATCGTACGCGGAAGGGTGCGGCTGCCCAGGGCGCGCCCAGGGACGAATGTACTGTAAGAGACAGAGCAAGGACGGTCATATAACATGCCCGCGGTTTCAGTCATCGTGCTTCAGAGACTCACCTTCCCGTTATACTCGAGTGCTTCCGGAGCTGTTCCTGCGTAGAGCGGGGTAAGTACTCCGTACGACACCGGGTACATAACGAACTTCTCCTGCGTAGATAGCGAGTCAGACGCCGTCTCTCCTCCTCGCGGAGGCAACAAGCTCACGCACGTAAAGTATGATATACCAAGGCTTCTTGCCCCGGAAGATGTCGCTTCTGATATGACCAGGGTCGACCGCAATGCTTACAACGTTCTCACCAGCCTCCGCTGCACGCTTTGCCACATACGCCGACAACTGGATCTGCGCGAGCTTACTCTGGCCGTACAGGTCAAATGTCCCGGCCTTGCGGCGGTCAGGGCCTTCGGTAAATGTGGAGAAGTCGAGACGACCGTTCACGAGGAGGTTCGCGGAAGACGAGGTCCAGATGATTCGTGAGGGGCTTGTTTGCGACTGGGATAAGGGGCTGGGGGAAGTGAGGAGAGGGTAGAGGAGGCGGAGGAAGAGGTGGTGCCCGATTACGTTCACGCCGAAAGTTGCGTCGTACTTTTGGGCAGTGATCTGATCAAGAGGCGGGTACATGATGCCAGCATTGATAAAGAGGATGTCGATGTGCGACTCGCGTCTACGGCCATACATGTCGTCAGCAAAGGAATACAACTCAGAAACGACTGAAAGGCTGACTGAGCGAAGTCTTGTGCGGATCTTTGGACGGCAACCAGATCGTTCAAGTCAAGCTGGAGAAACTCGGCGGTCTTCCCGGTATCTTCCTTCAAAGCCCGGATCGCCTCCTCGCCCTTCTGCTGAGAACGAGCTGCAAGGTAGACCTTTGCGTTCTTGCGAAGGAGAGACTTGATCATCTCGAACCCGATTCCGGAGTTTCCTCCAGTGACGAGAACGATTTGGCCTGATAGGTCAGGTATATCCTCCGGATGCCATTTGGAGGCTGGAGGGAAGGCTTGTCTACACCACTGGATAGGATGGGACATATCGGTATGCAACGAGAGCTATGATGTTGCTGGGGTGGGTGATATACGTTTTTCCGAACACTGATCGTGGCTCTTATAGCTGTGGTTCATACGGCCTCATAGATCAAATACGAGAGTCCCGGGATCAGCGCTGCGGAAGTTGGTTGCCAGCTGATTACCATTTGCCGATGAACATGGCAGAACCATGGCAAAGTTTCCGACGAAATCGGAAAGGTAGAATGACGGAGAAAGACGGTGGATGTGTACAGTGCTGAACAAGCCTCGCGTCAGCTATTCGGATGCAATTCTATGCGTCTATCATCGGAGCGCCTCTGCCACTACTGGCATGGCAGAAGACCGGAGACGTTACGTTACGATCCTACTACGGGTATCATAGGGAGAGCGTGGAGACATGACTATGCTCCGAAGCGCGCTGTATCGTGTGCAAGAGTTCGGTAGGTTAAGTTTGGTCGTGATGGCATGTACATATGCGGTCGAGTCCGTCGAGAGAAGAACGACGAGTTCAACGCATATCCCAAGCGCCCGCCACGATAACTTGCGCCATTAGTGTCTTGTGGCACCGTCTGGTGGCATGCATGCTGCCATGCTCTCCTTCCAAACCTCTCCTCTCCTCTTTTTGCCGTCGCAGCCCAAACACGCGTATGAATATCCTGTTATGATATACAATGCCGCACTGTCCCACTCCTCGTGATTGTTGCCAATTAGTTCGACCTGAGTCATGCGGAAAATGATCCATGGACTTCCAGTGCATGGCATAGCCATTACCCGCTCCGCTTGTCTGTTACTGGAGCTGTCTACTTTTCTCAGTGATACGTGGTGAGGCACGACGAGGAGGCGTACAAGGATCGCTCGTAAGGAAATTGTGAGTTGATCATCATTCACAAGGCGTCGTTATGAAGGCGTTGAACTGAGCTGTAGATGCACTTCTAGGATGTTATGGCCCATTTCCGCGCCCCACGTACCGGATGAGGTAGATGCGTAGCTCGAGGACTCACGCCCGCTCTTAGCTGTGCTGCACCGGGCTGCTCCACAGCCTCCGACATGTGTATGGACGCTCGTTTAGGCGTGCACTCTAGGCCACCCGTACAAAAGACTCCGCCCACGTAATGGGTGCTTCCGTAGCTCGACGAGTCTCGTACTAGAGCCAACCCCTCTGACCTCGGGACCTTGTCCGTCATGTCACCTTTCTTGCCACTATATAGTCTTTTCCATAGTTTCTCTCAGAGACTCCGCGCTGCTGCAGGGTCCAGTGATGCTCAGTCCGAAGATGCTCCACCTCCACCTCCCAAAGACGACCGGATTGTCGTGCCTATGGGAAAGGATAGGGATAACAGGACCTCTACGTTGGCGGTGCGTATGGGCGCGGTCTGTCCGGCTTCTACTAAATGACAGTCCCGGTGTAGCAGCCGACACGAGGGCCGAAGTCAACATCTGACGTCGGTGTCCAAACATACGGCATGCCTCACGCAGGGATTCGGCTTCCAATCGAACTTTGGATAGACATATTCGCGACGGTAGGAGATGAGTCGAACTCGAACGCGACACGAGATATGCATGCCCTCGTTCTGACATGCAACGCCTTTCAAGTCGAAGCGGAGATCATACTATACCGTCGAGTGACTTTGCTCCGACACCCAGGCGATCCTCACTTCCAACGGAGATTGCACGCCTTCGCACAGGCAGTCACGCAAGCACAGCGCCCCTGGCGTGCGCCCGCCGTGCGCTCCCTCCGTCTGCACATGCCCCGCTTCCGCAGCATCGCAGCCCAAGACATGTTCAAGATGATGGTCAGCCTGGCGGATTTAGAAGTGTACTGGGATAACGACAGCCCACCGTTCCCCCTCATGTGGTCGACTCTCCGACTGCGCTACCTGAAGACGACGTTACACGGTTTCTGTCAGGTCCACCTACACCAAGAGCTCCGCCGAACTGCTCAGGACTTGAGCTGGAATCTCGGTCCAGGCCTCCAGCCATGTCCGGTCAAAGCCTTCTCGACAATCACCAGTCTCGCATTACAGATGGGCGACCTGCCTCCAGAACACAGCGTGAACACGGCCGACGTCTTACGCTACTGCAGCTGGTACAATATCACGCACCTCAACCTTTCTGCGGCACCGCGGTGGAGCACGTGTCGTGAGGTATTGCACGCGCTGGGCGCACGGCTAGTGTCGTTCAGAGTTGCGCTCGGGGCGCGGCCGTGGGCTGAGCTGCCAGGATGCTCGAGAATCCTATACGAAGCGCCTCTTTCCTGGCCGACTCACATGGTTAACCATGCAACGTTCCCTGCACTCAAACATCTTGAGGTTTACGAATCCTACGATAGGTGGGAACCTGTAAGTATGCCCACTAGCATTATTGTGCGCATTCTCTTACCGAGTCCATCATACAGAGCATGGACATTCCCACCACCAGTGACCATCTTGACGTCGACTCATGGCGAGCGTCATGCCCAGCCATTGAGACGGTCGTCTGGAAACCTGCGAGCTATCAATGCGACCAGGCAGCCCATAATGCGCGATACGAGAGGAGAGTCCGAGACGTGCACAAGGAGCTGTTCGAGGCGTGGCCGACACTGCAGCGCTTTGAACGAACGCTGCTGGAGAGTAAGAAGCGACCTTGCAGGTACACTGCCTTCATACGCGGAGAGGGCGGGAAGATCGAGCGCTTTCCTGCGATCTACGAAGCGGATTTCTGGCGGAGAGCACACTGACAACAATGGATATGGGGACTTTTCATAGCTCCGATTTGAGGCTGATCGCTAACTTACTATTACTTAGATATGTGACACTGAGGTCTGCATTTATCCCATCCCCCAGCATATGTAGCGCGTGTTGGCATAGTGTCTGGAGTAAGGTATGCGGGAAGCAACCATAGCGAGGTTCTCTAGACGATGCATCTCTTATAACACAAAGTGCTGTTGATGTACATGGTTGAGCGACGAACCCACACGGTCCGAAGATGTACTAAACACGTGTAGTAGGGCTGGCGCTTGGGGTGCTGGCACGGCTGAGACGTGTCTCTTTCGCTCTCCGACTCCATCCCGTCTTCAACTGCGTTATCGCTGGCTTGTACATCGTCAACCCCTCTTCCAAGAGCTAGTAAAGAGTATGTCTACACCAAACAAGCCCACCGCTAAAGCGATATACCCTCTGCCACTCAGCTCGACCCTCCACGACCTTGCTCTCCTCCGTGCCTCGGATCTCGACCTTGCCTCGCTTCTTCCTACTGCTCCTGTCTCAAGCTCCGGTGGAAAAGAACACAATGTGACCGATCCTGCCGTAGACGAGAGCGTCAAGCGCTCCTTGGAGTTTTCGCGTGAGGCACGCGCCGCCCTGAAGCTCCTTTACTCCGATGCCGTTGACCGCGAAGGAGCGAGAGTAGACGAGGTGCGAGAGAAGCTCGAAGACGTCATGAAGGGTCTAGATGGCAACGGCGAAGAGGAGTAATCCAGGGTCGTGTATGTGTTCGATGAGTACTGGGGCTGCTCGTACGCCATCTTCTCTCAAACGACGCACGTCCTGCTCATTATGCGAACCTCGTCTTCTCCAGTTATAACGCAATTCATACGAGTTGCCGTCTCGGCGACCTCTGTTGTCATAGGATTGCGTGTTTGCCACTTCGAGACGAATGAACGGAGCCAGGAGGCTATCACCGACGTCAGCGTGAGCACCCACCTCTCCGAGAGCTTGCTCTTCTAGCCGCGTCGTCAGCTTCTCCATCACCACTACTACCTGTTCGCTTTGGCGACGACCATGATCCTTTGTGCACGAATCAAACACGAGTGGAGCTCCTTGGCACGAAAAGCATTCCCTACAACCCCACACACCTGACGTCATCCAGCCAAGTCAGAGGATATATAGCAGCGCGATCTGCATCCCATTACCCTCACAATTCACGACTAAACCAACTCAACCAACTTTCAATTCACAATTCACCCTCCACTCCATTTCTCAATCGCACTCTAGTAACCATGTCCGGACACGACGGTACGTCTTGTGCCCGACACTCAACTGTTGTCCAGTGTCTCAATTGCGCCTCCTTGCAGAGAAGCGTGTTGCTGCTGGTCTCAAGGCCGCCATCAACAACCCCAACGTCTCCGAGGAGGCTCGTGAGCGCGCGCAAGAGCGCCTCGAGCATATGGGTGCCAGCACCGAGACCGACAACTCTGGCCGCTACGCCACTGGTACCGTTGACTCTAGCGGCCACGAGACGAACCGTGTCCTCGGCGGATACAAGGCGACTCTGCACAGTGAGCACCTTTCTGTTCAGTCTTCCATGAGTCGTGCGTCGTGGAACTTATCACGTCATCTTGCAGACCCGCGCGCGAGTGATGAGGCCAAGCAGCATGCCCGTGAGATCCTTGAGGCTGACGGCTACACTGTCGAACCGGGCCCGGGGATCACTCAGGACGAGCACCAGACCCGTGTCCTTGCAGGCTACAAGGCCGCGCTGCACAACCCGCGCGTCTCCGAGGAGGCCAAAGAGCACGCGAGGGAGTACCTTGCGGCGCACGACGCGCTCTAAGCCACTTGTCACCCAGGGTATCAACTTTGAGCCCGTCCCCTGTGTACGATAGATCGTCGCCGCCGTAGCCCCTAATTGTGTACGAGTACTGTATCATAATACATCCTGAGTCGTACTTGATGTTGTCGCGCCGTCATATTCCCACTGTGCGTTGTCCACAAGGTTGACCTGCTCAAGTCAGAATGTAGGGGCGCATTTCCTGCTAGTGTCCGGAGGCACAAAGTACGATTGATGCGGGTACCCCCACCTGTCGGGGCTCGTTCATGGCACAAAGGGGTAAACGGTCGGACTACTCCTCGTGTCGAGTGCATTTCTTCCACCTAATCATAGTCCTGCAACGTGGAATGAGTAAGAAGGCCAGACTACTATACCAGTGGATCTGTACATTGGGGTGGTTTCCGTATAGAAGCGCAAGCAGGGTCTGCCCTGGGCCTGCCAGTTGACGGTGGCACAGAACGTTCTGAGGACAGCCCATATACAGTCATACACGGGTCCTCGGGACAGTCAAGTGTTGTCGCTCATCCCAAACCATCCCCTACCTGTGCAGCCCATATCGGACAATGCCATTATGTATGGTACACAACAAGGCATTGCACGCCTAAGTTTCATGGTAATCCAACTATGTGTGAGAGGGATCGGGGACAATCGTCCCAAATTTCTCTTATCGCACGTCCCTCGGTCCTCGGGACAGCGCTTAATTCCCTCGTATGGAACGAAATTGCTGTTGCCGAGGATAGCCGAACCCGGATATGGTATGTGGACATCTAAACGCCCGATTGCTTGAGCGCAAGAACTACCCTTCCACACTGTGTCGATGACTATCAGGGCTCAGTGTCAAAATCTCACCATATAAAGTTGCTGAGAGAAGGAGATATATGTCGCCTTGTTGTACACCAGAAATGGGGCACACCCATGGGCACGGTGAGTATAGATTTGGGCGGGAACCAGTCCCAGATTTGGTTTTCGTGTAAATCTTGTACAGAAACT